TTTTACTTCTAATATTTTTTTATTGTTATATACATAATATTGTCATTTGTGTATTTTTACTTTGGGAAAGGGGACTTTCTAGGATAATGGGGACTGTCAGTAGATAAAATTTGGAAAAATTTGAAGAGTTGAAGTTACTATAATTTGTTACTCTCTCAGGAAGAGCTTGACTGATTGTCCTCATGGTTTAGGTTAAAATACAAGCTTTTTCTGGCTTTACCAGAATCATCTTTCATCACTCCTATCGGAGAAGACAGCAAGAGAAGGAGTAATTCATTTCCCTGGCAGTCTTATTAATGCCAGGCCTGTTTCCCACTTCTACACTGCAGTCAGCAAGGCATGCTTTTTAACTGGATCAGAGTAGCAAAAACTAATCTAAGAGGGATGAGAGGCCCCTAATTTATCCAGTACAGGATAAATAAACTACAGCTTTGTAGTTAATTTCAGCAACTCAAGGCTGCAATCCATTTCTATTTCTATTTTCTAAATCCATTTCTGGTTTTGATTCTGTAATTGGGGCTAACTGCTAACCAGTCTCTTGTAAGAACTTTGTCCCAAAATGACCTTAATCTGACATGGTTTGTTCATATTAACCTAATTTGAAACTCACCTGAAAAAATTGCCTATCAAAAGTACAACAATTTGTGTAAACTCACAATGGGTAAAATGAAAAACTACTTCTGATGTGTATTACAGATATTCATTCGTACAGAAAAAGCAAATGCGACCTTCCCTTATTAACTCTTGCCGTGAGTCATGCTCATCCCTGCAACTGAGCACTCAGCTCAGACATGGTAAGTCTGCTTGTCTGCTTCCAAGTCTGTTTCCTGATCCTCAGTTTATTTGATCAGACTCTTCCAACTGCAAAGAGATGGGAGGAGAAAACTGCTCCTGGCAGACCGCAGGGTTAGTCCCTCCTTTCTGAGCAGTGAGTCAACTGGCAGCTTCTGCCAGCTTCAGTGCCCGGAGATCACTGCTGCAGCCCAGGCTCCTCAGCAGCTTCTGGGGCTTCTGGCTGCTCACTGCCTGCATCCAGCTAAATGCATCAGACCTGACCTCAACCACCCTTTACATCCAAGCTGAAACACAAAGAGACACCATGAAAAAGCATGGCAAAAAAGTGTTAATTCAAGATGATGTTACTTGCTGTTGATCTCTTAAACCCTCCCGATGGAGCACAGAATGAAATGCAATGCTGGAAGTCAAGGGACCAGGGCCCGAAGCAGAAAACCAGTCCCTGTCACTAGCCCAGCCCCAGTCAAAGGAGTTATTTGAATGGAGAGCAGTGAGTCGAAGTGGCCCAGCTGGACTGTGGTGTTTGGCTCTTCTCCCTGCTCTGCTGTCACTGCTGCAGCAGGTCCCCCAGCCAGGAACAAGGGCTAGCCAGGGGGCTAGAGACAGACAGCAACAGGAAACACTGGCACCATCAACCCTGCAAAATATTTTCTGTTTCTGGAAAGCTGTTGAAGAGCACCTGCTGGGTGCATTCTTTGTGAGGCTGCTTTAAGACCAACAGTGAGGGTGGAGGGGCTAACTAGAGACAACAGGCCCCAACAGAGGTACAAAAAAGAAGCTCCACTGGCAATTCCTGGGTTGAGTTTTGCACACGGGAGAAGGAGGGAGGAAGAACATAGCCTTCTTCAACTGCAGTGTTTTCACCCAGAGGCACTGAAAAAATCCATCTATTAGTTGGATTCTACATTCACATGGATTATAAATATCCTCCAAGGTATTTTGTCTCTGTGGGTGAGGAGGTGTAAGCCAAGGAGGATGGAGGAGGAGCAGCAAACTGGGGAGAGGCCAGCGAGATTTGTCAGACACTGCAGCTACTCCATGCATCTTGGGAATTATCTTTCTCTCGTTCTTTCATTTAGGATGAATGTCCTAATCTGTAGCTGAGGAAGCTTAGAAGAAGGGAGTTCAAAGCCTTTTGTTACATACATGTGACTGCAGGCACAGTGTGGTTTTTGTTTCCCACAACAAGGGCATAGGCATTATCAGGAATACGACAGAAAAGGGCAGAGCAGTGTTGGCTGTACAATACATGAGGCATACAGATGATTAACATAAAGAAAATAATTAGCAATCTTTAATCATTTTACTGCTGTTCACGGCATCCAAGCCCCTGAGAGCAGCCCGTCTCAGAAGCAATATGAAGTCAGCAGCGAGGGCAGGGCAGTATGCCTGACACTTGTATTATTTCAGCTCAGCAGCAACTCCCTACAGAGGTGGAATGGCAATTTTCCAACATTAAAATGTTTTTAAATAAGTAAAATGTTTAAAAAGGCACAGAAGGCTTTGGGCACTTGACGTTCTGGTTAGAATGGCATATGCTGCCTTAATCCACCATGACCCTTTAACTGTGGCATCTGATCTGACTGGAGGAAAACAGCTGCTAACCAGCAATATTTCTTGAGTTTGTAACTTACAGATGAGCTCTACCCTCCCCACTGCCTCTTTCTCCAATGTTTCCTCCGCTCCTGCCATCCCACAGAGAAGGCACTCTGTCTCAGTATGTGCGAGTTTGACAAGAGGAAAGTAAGAAAAAGTATTCTCTTGTTAATGATGCACCACAGGATCTTGGGAAGCAGTTTTCATTTGCTGCAATCATAAAGGACCAAGCATTGTTGCTACAAGATGATCACTGGACAAGAGCCAGATGAAATCTCTCTGAAGTAGGTGGAGGTCATAGGTTTTACTGAGGTCTCTGCTCTTTACGGATCTGGTCCCCTCAACTTCTGTGATTTTCGAAGGGGTCTGGCACCTTTGGAGGGTATGCCCAAAGACAGACAGGGACATTCTACTTAAAGGAAAATAACTCTCCTGAGCAAGTCAGGATAAGAATAGTTTCATTCCAGTGAATTCTGGTCTCGGATCTGCCAAAACTGTTTGGTCCCTCCAACTACACCACTCTTGCTTATCCTTGCATTTCCCAAGCCTGCTCTTTGCACATAGAAATCCAAAACCCTGTCCTGTTTACAAGGTGCACCCTGGTCTGCCTCTGCCTTGTAAAATAGTGGGAAGAGGGCAAACATTACCAGGCTGTGCTCTGGTGACCGTAGCAAGGCCCAGGGAAGTTCCGTGCAGACCCACAGGGAGCTGTGGGATTGATGGGCAGGGGCTCCCAAAGGCAGTGGTTGATAAGTCCACTGCAGCAGTGGGGAAGGGTCTGATGAGCTGAGCAGTCCATTCCTCCCCTTCCATTCTAACACTCACAAGCATATTTCTGTAGCACTTGCATCTGCTAGCATTTGCCACATTCCTGCCAAGAGAAAAGTTGCACATAAAGAATTCAGGCCTTTTGCTTTTACTCCTTCCATCTGGAATTCAAAGAATGATGACCGTGTGAAACTCTTAAAACAAGGAGAAAATCAAGGCAGAAGTAGAACTAAGCAAACAGTATTTATGGCCTCTACTTTTTCCCAAGCCCTTTGTAAGAAAAAGTGCTTGACAGCAGGCTTGTATTTCTCCTATGGAGTACCAAGCCCACAAGAAAAAGGTAATCCCTTTTTTCCTCTTTGCAAGTCTGTAACACAATGGTCTAGTGACCAATAAAACAAAATCCTTCTTGGCTGTCTTAACATGCACCAATCTCAAGGCACATAGCTTTACTGGGACTGCAGGTAAAGCAGATAATTAGCCTTGGGGTGAGCTGAGGTTGTCCAGAACTATCTGAACTTTTCCACGTTCTCAGTTTCTATCCCATGCCATACAGGAAAGGCTTAGAAGAGAAAGTGTATAAAGTTGATGAATGGTGAAATACAGAGACTTTCCATTTCCGTTTACTTCTCATAGGTACTATGACTAGAAGGTATTAAATATTTGGAAATCTTCTTATAGGTACTATGAATAGAAGGTATTCAATATTTGGAAATCTTGAGAGGCAGGCATGTGTATTCAGGAATTCCTAGGTTAGAAGACAGGAGGGGACCTTTCTTACTTTAGAGCACCATGGGAACTCATTTAAGAGGGGTGACAAGGAGAATGGCTCAGCTAACTTTGACTTAACAACTGCACCAAGTATAGAAAGAAAATATTGTTGGGTTTGTTCTCTTACAGAACCACAGAATTGCTTAGGCTGGATGGGACCCCTTGAGATGCTGCAGTCCAACCCCCTGCTCAAGGCAGGTCAGGTACAGCAGGTTGCTCAGGACCATGTCCAATCAGGTTTTTAATATCTCCACAGATGGAAACTCCACAGACACTCTGGGCAACCTGTGCCAGTGCTCAACCACCCTCACAGTAAAAGAGTGTGTTCTTGTGTTGAGAGGCAATTTCCTGTATTTCAGTGTGTGTTGATGTCCTCTTGTTTCACTGGGCATCACTGAAATGAGTCTGTTTCCATCTTCTTTACTTCTCCCCCCCTGGGTATTTATATGCATGGATAAGCTTCCCCTGAACTTTCTCTCCTCCAGGCTGAACAGTCCCAGCTCTCTCAGCCTCTCCTTGTATAAGAGATGCTCCAGTGCCTTCATCATCATCTTTCCCTGGACTCACTCCAGGATGTCCATATCTATCTTGTACTGGAGAGCACAGAACTGGACGCAGCACCCAGATGTGTCTCACCAGTGCTGAGTAGCACTGGTGTAGGGGAAAGATCATCTGCCTTGACCTCCTGGCAATACTCTGCTTAATGCAGCCCAGGATGGCATTGGCCTTCTTTGCCACAAGGGCACATTGTTGGCTCATGTTCAACTTGTTGTCCATCAGGACCCCAAGGTCCTTCTCTGCAGAGCTGCTTTCCAGCCAATCAGCTTCCAGGTGTACTAGTGCCTGGGGTTATGCTTCCCGAGATGCAGGACTTTGTATTTTCCTTTGCTGAACTTCATGAGGTTCATTTCTGACCATTTCTTCAGCCTGTCCAGGTCCCTCTGAACGGCGGTACAATCATCTGGTCTAGCCAATCCTCCCACTTCTGGATCATCTGCAGACATGACAAGGGTGCACTATGTCCCAGGTCACTCATGAAGATGTTAGACAGTATTTGCCCCAGTATTTACCCTGGGGTACACCTCTAGTGGCCTGTCTCCAAATGGACTTTGTGCCACTGTTCACAACTTCCTGGGCCCAGTCATTGAGCCAGTTTTCAGTCCACCTCACTGTCCAATTTTCTAGCTCATACTTGATCAGTTTGTCTACAAGGATGTTTTGGGAGACAGTATCAAAAGTCTTACTAAAGTTGAGGTAAACAACATCCAGTGTTGGATCCACTTTCCCCTCAGACACCAAGCAAGTCACCTCATTGTAGAAGGTTATCACGTTGGTTAAGCATGATTATCCCCTTGATAAATCATAGTGACTATTCCTGATCACCTTCTTGTCCTTCATGTGTTTGGAAATGGTTTCCAGGATTAGTTGCTCCATTATTATCCTAGCTCCAGGATTAGTTGCTCAATTACCTTCCAGAGGGTTGAGGTAAGGCTGACCAGCCTGTAATTCCTCAGATCTTTTTTCTTGCTTTTCTTGATGAAAGGAGTGACATTCGTTCTCTTCCAGTCTTCAGGAACTTCTCCCGGTCATCACGACCATTCAAAGAGTGGTCCTGCAATGACATCACCCAGTTCCCTCAGCACTCGTCCCCATGGACTTACGTACATCCAGTTTGTTTAAGTGCTCCCTAACCTAGTACTCATCCACTGAGGGTAAGTCTGTCTTTCTTGCTCCAGACTTTCCCTAGGGTCTCAGGGGCCTGGGATTCATGAAAACTGGTCTTACCAGTAAAGACTGAGGAAGGAAGGCATTGAGTACCTTGACCTTTTCCGTGTCATTTGTCAGGAGGTCCCCTGCACCATTCAGTAGCAGGCCCATGTTTTTCCTAGTCTTCCTTTGACCCTTGATCAGGTCCCTGACCACACAGGGACCCTGAAGCATGGCTACTCCAAAGAAACACTCCTGCCCTGTGTTGGGGCATGGAAGCCCTCTGCAAAGTGCGGCAGGAAGGGACCAGGCTGCTCTGATGGATGTCAAAACCAGCAACGCCCTTTGAGGCAAATCAGACTATTTCAGGTCTGGCCTTTCATTGCTGGAAATGATTGTATCTATCTGCTACAAAAAGCATTACTGAGACAGGCCCACTTTCTCTTAGTAACTCATACCGCCTCCTCTCTGGGCTGCCTCTTCTGCTCTTCCCAGCACAGCACCTCTTCAAACTCTGCCACCATGTCAGATCTTCCAGCACTTCAAGCAAGGCTTGTTGCACAGTTTCTGAAACCAATGCCTCCAGCATCAGCTTGACTTCCGTGTCAGGTCTCCCCACCTGTCCTGCAGGAGTCCCAAGGGGCTGCGATCCCCAGCAGGGAGCTAGGGCTGCTGCAGGGACATTCAGGCTTCCTGTGGGAGCCCCTACCTCAGGGCTTGCTACTTCACACCCTCTTGCCCAGGCCCGGGAGTAGGGTTGGCAGAGAGTGTGGAGCACTGGGTCCTGCAGGTGGAAAGCAGCTGGGCTTAGAGCACAGCAGGCAGGAGGAAGAGGAGCATGAGGAGTTTGAGGAAGCACAGGTGGGGCAGAGTGGGCCTTGAGGTGATTTGCTCCTTGATGAAGAGGTCAGAGCAGGCACTTGCTCCTTCCTAGAGCTCATCCATGTGAGCAGGGGCTTTAGGCAGGTGGCATAGGCGCAGCCTGGCTCTGCATGAGCTCCCATGTGTGTGCAGCTGTGCATATGTCTAGAGGATGAGTCAGTCCCTACCCATGAGGAAGGTCTTAAACCTGGCTCCAAACTGTGTGTAAACCCTCCTATCCCACAGCTTCCAGTGCTGCCTGCATGCCTCCCAGGGCAATTAACACTTCCCTAATGGCACCAACTCCAATGGACCTTCTGCCCCTGGGCTGTGTGGCCAAGTGTACAGTTACTGACTGTGGGGCTGGGAGGGGGGATACAGCCCTGAAGTTTGCTGCTCTGTCCATCACAGAGTTCCCACCTCTGCACCTTCCTCTCTGTCCGCATTTTTCACCCATCAAAAATCCACAGTGACAAGGCCCAGTGCTATGCTGGCTGGGCTGCCATCCTTTAACACAGGGGTCCCAGCAGGTCCATAGCAGTGGGACTGCTTAAAAAAACTTGCTCTTTCTGTTCTTCCAATCTCTTTTCCTGCTCTGCTTCTCCAAAGCACACATCCAGTCCTTGCAGAGATCATCCGACAGGAGTTTGGAGGGGATATTTCAGAGCAAGTCCTGCAACGCCAAGATCTTCACATGAGGCTTTGGACACTTCTGCTGGGACCACAGGGAACATCCCAGTGACTCTGTTCAGGAGGAGGCAGCTTGGTTTCAGCCACCTGCTCTTGCAGTTACCCATTGACACTGGAATATCACAATGCAACACACAACAGACAATGAGTATGGGGAAGCAAGTCAAAAAGAGTGAAGTGGTACTAACATACGGGAAAGCAATATGAATTACAGTATTTTAAATGCTGGGCTAAAACAGGAATCCCATGTTGATAGACATTTGACTGAGTAAATTTCCTAAACTGAAGATATTGTTAAATATGTGTCATAGTCCTGCTGGTTTTCAGTAGAGGTAACAGATTTGTGAGAAAAGCTGATCCAGATATCAATACTGATTTATGCGAGGAGCAAATGCAGGTGCTGGTAAATTATCTGAGCAGGGCAATTTTCTATTGGAAAACAGTGAATTCTGGCTAAATTCAATGAGCGTATACGGATATCTTCAAAACATAGATAAAACTGGTGGGCAGCAAAGCTGCCAACAAGTTTGGTCTGTGATTTGCCCTACAGTGAAATGTTATTTATTTCATTGCAAAGAGTTAAAACTGATAATGCTATTAGGATTTTAAACACAGTTTGCATCCAGTAAATACTTTGTACTCTTGCATCAAAAGCAAATGTAACACTGACAACTAGCACAGTCCTCTTGTATGCAGCAGACTCAACCATCTTCTCCCACTTGTCAGCTTACAAGAGACACTTGAGCAAAGTCTCCCTCCCTCCATCTCCCTTCAGGCTTTTCCGGTTAGATAGAAACCTACAAGCCCCTTAGAAGGCACCTTCCAGCAATGCTAAGACTTCTCCTTCAGGGCTGCAGCCCTCCTGGCCTGCAAGGTGATCATGGAGTGCCTCTCCTGTTTCCTCCTCAGATGGGTGTTGCACTACAAAAAAGGGTGTCATCACACAGCCCATGGGAGTAGATGGGTCAGGGTGCCAAGAAGAGCCCAGGTTTTTTAATATTTAATCTTTTTAACTATTTAAAGCCATTTAAATTTCTTATTCCTTTAAAATTCATGTTGCCATGAAAAACTCTGATTACACATGGTTACAATAATTTTTCTTCTAAACATAAAATAAAGTAGTATGTGATCTTTTCAGTCACACTAGCTCCTGCACATGTGCAGGTCTCATGCATGTAGTACAGTATGCTGTAAGGGACCGTAAGTGAAACAAGCTGATTTCACAACTGGAAGCTGTAGAAATACATCAGTACTATGTTGTGCATTATCATCATCAGGAGCATCATCAGTATGAAACCCAGTCACCTAAAAAGTTAGGATTAATTTTGAGTACTTAATTCCCTGAAGCCTTATTTCAGTTTTCTTCCATTTTTCCAATTCTATTTTAGAAAACCTTAAAACTGTGTTTGAAGGGTTTTCAAGTTAATCCATATTTCTAAAATGTCAAAGGCCTTTAGTTTGTTTTGCACTGCAGAAAAAACACATTATAGCATGGCCAAAAATTTGTACAGTGTAGTTAGTACTTTTTGTAACAGCTTCTCCTTTGGCCGTCTACATGCAGTGCCTATGCTCCAGCACGTGGTGGTGCCTTCTGCCAAAATAATGTCTCCGGCTTGCTACAGCACGGTTAAAATGTATGGTGCCAGCAGTAGCTCTCAATACGATCGGTAAAGATCATCGATGTTGTAAGGGCCTCCCCTCTGTTTCTGTCAAGTAAGCAGTCCCAGACGTCAGCTACATCTGGCCTCTTTTCTCCATGCTGGATTGTCAGTGATAAATCTTTTCCTTTCAGTGCATGTGCTGAGGACGATCTCTCTGTGATCATCAGGGGAACGCACCAGCCTTCCCAGCATGCTCCTCTTTCCGTCAGAAAGCACTGACAGCAATACTTCTGCTTGGCATGTGGCAGTTTCATCCAAGACTAATGATTTGAGGGAAGCTGGTTTGGCATCTGCCTCCCTTAAAAGTGCTCAGCACATATTTGGCACATTTTTCTTCATCTGTCATCTGACCCTTATGCAGTTTCCCTGTTCTGCACCGTCCTTTGCTATAGAGTAGGCCAACTAGTGCAGACTGCAGTGACACACATCCAAATGGAAATCCACCTACTACAGCATCATGCTTAAATCTGTATATTAATGTTGTGCCACAAGTCACGTGGACTCTAGGTAAGAAGCATACAAGGAGGATAAGCACTGCAGGAGATTAAATTCTGGCACCTTGTCTTTAGATGGCCGGAAGCTCAGTGCACGGCATTTCTGTTTGTGCAGCATCTGCACAATTAAGTCATGGGTACTGTGCAGGATAAATACACACTGAGTGAGTACCGTTTACATCAATCTGGTAGCTTAAAACTACCTTAAGATTTGTGTAAGCTATCTTTTGAAGCTCCTGCCTACTGCCAATGAGCATGGAGTGGCTCCGGTGCAAAGGACAATTAGGTGTCTTGTATCTGTCTTTTCTTGTGTCCTTACACTTTGCAAACTCTTGCAAAGTTTGTTGAACTTGTGAAATGTGGAAAGGGCATGTTGTTGTAAACAAAAATGGTTTCCTCAGAAAGAGGAAAATCTGCCCTGCCTGCAGTAGAGTGTCACAGAGGACAGAGAAAGTGAGATTGACCATTAGCATAGTCTCATGTAGCACACAGGCTAGGGCATGCATCACATACCCTTGCTGCCACGTAAAATACAAGCTTCTGTCTCTCCTCGTGCTCAGAGAGGAATGGAGACAGTAAAAATCACTCTGCACACTAGTATACAAAGGAAGTGATCCAATCGAGATGTACATGGGGAAAAGAAAGCCTGTAGCACCATCACTCCAGTGTTCAGTGCTTCTGTTTCTGAGGAGTTCTCCACAGTGCAGCCCCCAGCTCCAGGACAGGTGGGATGACTGTACTAGCTGAACCTCTGTCCCCATTAAGTGCTGCATCCCACAGTGACTACACGGGCAAACAAGCAGTTTTGCAAAGCAATTCCTTCATTAATGAGCTCAAAGTTAAAGGTTTTCCCCCACCCCTTGGCTGTTTCTGTTGCTCCTTCCCAGAGTTTCACAGTATCTTGTAGCCCAGTTGTCTGAGAGGCATTCAGTCCTGTCCTCAATGCCTGTGAAGGCTGCAGCTGCGCACTTGTGAATTTATTGTCATTAGCTAGCTCTATGACACAAGCTGTTGCCCCCTCACTTTGCTCTGTGCTCCTTTTAAGATTGGTATAATGAGGTACTTGTTCAAGAGAAGCACAACCCAAGGAAAGTGTTAGATAATTAGGCAGAGGTGGAACTTCCTTCCAACCACAAACCAACTGAAAACTAGTAACTTTTCAAGATCTACCTTCATCTACACTAGTAATTTAAACAAGCCAGAAATCATTCCTTCTCTTTTTCTGAAAGGCAAATTCCTTTTCATTTCTGTTTTACTACAGATTAATGGTCCCTCTACTTCACACATACCAGGTGTATTTTCTTTAAGAGATGATCAGTTTGTAGATATCTACTTAAACCCTAGGTAATTTTCTCAGTTTGTATTTTGCTCTGGTCTAATAAAAGGTCTTACCTCAGTCCCTTTTTTTTGGCCTCTGCCCTTAGACATCATGCCTACACCAGTGCTTTTATACCGTTTAAAAGTAGACTCATATTTATATTCCAAATAAGCTTCTAATGCCTTTAAATGCTACCCTGAACATTATTTG